CACAAGTCATTTTGGTCTACTGAAAAGGAGCAATTTGCTTATTTATACATATGTGCAAGTTTTATACATGGCTATTTTTAAAAAAAATCTTGATATTCTCACCCCCACTGACTTTGCATTTGAATGAAGTTTCAGGAAGAACTGTTGACAGTCCTAGAAAGTGGCATCATTCTTAAATGATATATAGGCTTCTTGTGCTTTTGTAGTCATCAGTTTAACTTCGAATCAAACATGTAAACCACTTGTCTGTATAGAACCAAGTCCTGAACAGTCAGGATTTTTAATTCTATCTAGCAACACTTCTTCTGGAGATATACCACTACTTTTAAATTACTATCATGCAAAAAAAAGAGAAAAAAAAAGAGTAAATATAACTTTCCAACCTAACTTGGTATCAGATAGACAACACTTAAATCAAAGGGGAAATGCCAACATCAGTGAGATAATGAAATACATTATCATCTCGGATTTGGGGAGCACAATGAAGTTTAATCAAATAAAAATAGTTAAATTTACTTGTATTGAAATGCTTAGGAAAGGCAAAAGCAATCAAAAACCAGAAAAATACAACATTCTTTAGTGTATTAGAAGCCCCCGCAATGACATGGTGGCAGATCACAAAGAGCATTCCAAATCTTAAACTACACACTAAGAAACTTGGTTATATAAAAGCACTTGCCTTATTACCGTTGCTATAACTATCTAGATTCCCTTTTGACATTTGACAAACCAGAAGGACACCTTTAGGGTCTGATCCTGCATTCCTGGTATACACAAAACTCCTGCTGAAGTCCATGGGATTTTGGAGTGCATGGAGAATGTAGTATCAGGCCCTTACTAATTTGCTCACTGCTCAGCTGACAATGAAATCTTACCAACAGGCAAGACTATATACAACCTGTGACAGACGTATGAGACCCCATTTTTAAATTTTCTGATTTGCAAAACACCTTTAGGTTGCTCAGCACTAACCTTTCTCAAAGGAGTATTTGAATACTATAAAACAACTTGATGTTAAAAAAAAACAAAATAATGAGAGTTAATGTATCCTGATCTGACAACAGAAAGCTTTAACATTCAAACAACTATTTCTCTGTTACATCTAGGGCATCAGATTTCTAATCTGGAAAAGATTCTTTTTTAAAAAAGAGATACCTATGTTTTTCTCTACCTATTTTCATTACATTTTATGAAAGATCAGTTTATTAGTACCTCAATTTTCAACTGCCTACAGCATATAAACAAATGTTGAGCAGACTGAGGCCCTGCTCCTGCTCCTACTGAAGCCAGCAGGATGTTTGCCATTAACTTCAATGGGAGCAGCATCAGGCCCTAACTCAGATCTGGACTCAGGGAAGAATTGTATGGTATTAGTCAAAGCTATGCACAAAAGAAAATGTAAATAAAGCAAAGCAGAGAAATGTTATAGACTTTGAAAAAGTTTATGGTTCTTCAAATACCACGAGCAATAGAGTTTTCAAACTGGGACAGTTTTTTTTCTTTTTTTTTTTTTAAAGAAGAGATTTATAATCAACCTCAATGGGAGTTTAGTGCATGTGGAATGCAGGATTGGGCCCTACATGTTTATATTGAACAATGATACATTTTCATTGCTGGGAAATTCAACTTGAACTGCAGTTTGGGCAGGTTCCCCCCCCCCGTACCTCCCGCTCCCCACAGCCCTTTAACTGATCTGGTGCAGGCAGAGCATGGCTGTAATTAACTTCTTTCCATCTACACTTAATACCTCAGAGCAATAACAAAAAATTAGGATGTTAAAATTTCAAACACTAATTATGGGCTGTTATATTTACTAAACATAGCAGAATAATTACAAAAGTTGCAGCTTTTCAGTGACTAGCACTACAGGATTTGATTTACAAAATCCCTGCTCCCCTTACACTCACTGTATTACATAACAGTTAATAGTGCACTAAAATAAAAATCAATATGTGCATTTATTACCAAACACATATGACAAGACTGCATAAGACTGCCTGCTTTTCCAGCACAGGTATTGCTTCTGCAGAGATCAATGATTTCCTCCTCTTTCCCATTTCTCCTCCCCTACCCCAACCCCAATTAAGTTATATAAATATCACAGCAGTAGACTTCTAGAAAGGAAATATACAGTATCTGAATATCCCACTTTCAGAAGTCACACTGTAAATGTTGGGTAGACTCATATTTCGTTTAGTTACTTTCCTTCAGCTATATTTTCAAGTCTGGCAAAAGGAATAATATTGAGTAATAATCTAACTAATATACTGCTGCCACCACCACCCTACACATACACATAAAACACACACACAATGTAGCTTGATACCACTTAATAAGAAGAGAGGTGTATGGATTTTGGGGGTGTCAAACAGCTGTCACAAACTGTCACCTCCACAAGAGAAACCTTGGCACACAACAAATTAAACTACACTTCTTTTTAGCTGTCATTATTCCTAGCCAATCAGTTGAAATGCTTCTCGTATTTCATGTGCAAATAAAACCAGGGGGAAGATCCCTGGATCAGAACAGTGGGCCAACAGATAAAACAGAGGAAACAACATGCTGTCTCCATCCTTCTGAAGGGGATCATCAACACCCCTGCACCAATTTTCACCAAATGAGATCTAGCCTGGGGCTATATATTAAATATGCATATCAAACCAAATGAAAAAATAACCTGGAGAGTAAAATTGGACAAATTTGCATGTTTGAACTATTCCATTTCTTAGGTAGATGCTCACAAAAGAACAGTTCAATTTTTATTCTGGTATTTGCCTACTGACAATTTGAAAAGGTTTTCCTTCTTTAGAAGTAGAAGTGTATTATTCCTTAATATAGAACAGCACAGTATATACATTCTTTAATGTAGCCCAGTGAAGAGTGCATATATATATTGAAGAGTTCCAAAGTTTTGGTGGGAAAACAAGCTAACATTAAAAAAAAATCCAATAAGGAGACACATTTCCCAAAACGCATGAATAAAATGTAACTATGATACAACTCTTCATTTCCCAGTTGGTGTTCTGGTTGCACAAATTATTGCTTCCTTTCAAAACAAATAGCAGGGGGCTAAAGCAAAAAATGTTATAGCTCAAATCTCTAGGAAATAAAAGGCTTTAAATTATAATACCCAATGAAGTGGTAAACCCTAAAGGGTACAAGATAAATGGGTTGTCATATTTACTTGAGTTTGTTTTTTGGGCCACAAAAACAACAGGAGATTCTTCTTAGTGAAGATAATAGTTATCAAATTATCAAAACGCTAACCCCTTCCAACCTTGTCCTATCATTGTATCTGAATTTAAATATTATAATAGAGCACTGCAAATTGGCTTGAGTATTCGCCATCTGCCAGAACCCTAAACAGGCTAGTTTATCTAATCTCTTCAATATAAACATCAGCGTGCCCCATTTCTACACTTCCACTTGAAACACACTCTTGTAAAGAAACTGTACTGGAAAAAAACATGTAGATTTTTTTTGTCTTGCTCTGAATTATACAGAATGAGCCTATATCTTTCAGGTTGCCACTCATTTAAATTTCTTTTCTGCAAGTACCTTAATGCTTGTGCATACAAATTTAGGGTTGAAAATCCCATAAAACAGATATTTTAAAACTACTGTCATGCCTCATAGACTCTATTATCTACAGATGAGATAACTGATAAGCAGAGAAACTTTCAGTAACTGCTGCATACATTTTTATTTGAAAATAATAAGTCGAAAATGCATACTATCATAAGAATATAGCCCCTCAAGGTTTACCAAATACAAATGAAGAATTGAAAGCTAAAGCCTGGAATACAGAAACCACTTTCAGTGTCCTGGAACTTTAAGCACTCAGCAAATTATTTTATTTCTTACCATGAATTTCAATACAGATCAAATACGTTATTAAATATGCAGACAACATATTTTAAATGTAAAAAGAAGCTCATAGAAACCTGATTCTCTATTAATTTAAATCTTCTTTTCTTACCACACAAGAAAAGACAGCTAGGCGCCTGTGCAGAGTATGGTTAAGACACACCGGGTGTTAAATGAATATTTCAAGGGCTAAAATATTAGATGTATCATTTAGATTATGAGTTCAATTGAACCTAAAACTGTGTAAACCCCTTTCTCCCCAGGGATGCATTCCTATAAATAAACTATAGTTCACACCCACTCTTTTTAACCATAGCTATTTCGTTCCCTTTTCTCCGCTACCAGCTGCAATCTTTTCTTTCATTCCCCCCCCCGTAAATGTCTATTTATTTCTATACACACATTCTAAAGCATCACAAGATCTGCACCAAAACACAAGCCAGAGAAGTAAAGCCACTCTTCTTACCATGAGCACCAACGTTTAGTCCTACACACGTAACAATAACTCACCAACTACTAAAGTGTTAAAATCAACCGCTAACCTACGATTACTCAATCATAATTCTCTCCAGCTTTCTGTAATACTTTGTTAATAATTGGTTCATCAAGGTTACTGTCTTTTATTATGAAGATGCTTCGGGCACTTGGCAATAAGTCCATATTCTTCTGACAATAAGTTGTTATTAAGCAAAAGCATTGGAAACTCCAATGTGTTAACCCTTTTCTTAATGCAATGTAAAACTGCCAATAACTCTCAGCACTTGTCATCTGCACAAGGGGGGGGGGGGGAAATCACCAAACTTTCCCCGTAACTTTCTCGACTCTGTTTTCTGGCATTGCTGCATTGATTACAGGGTTGGCAAAGCAGAAAAAGCACCGATCACCACATCAAACAGACAATTTGCTAGCGCTGCAAGTCTCCCAGATCAGGAAACTTAAATCATAAGCAAACTCCCTGTGCTACAGATTGTCTGGGGGGGGGGGGGGGGGGAGAAATCGACCATAAGAAGAACTTTAAAACTCTTAGGGAAATGGGGGAGGGGGCAGAAAGAGACTTACGCAGGCTAAAAAAAGGGGACTCCTAAGCAGGTTAGAGTCTTTAAAAATACCATAAAGGGATCAAGAGGACTTACATGGTCGGCTAAATTTGTGGAAGATCCTGAGAGTTCTTCATGGTCAGATTTGGAGCTGCCATCCCTTTCGTCAATAACTAGATCGATTGGCATTTTTCCTTTTAAACAACTAATGTACCTATGGCAAAAGTTATCGCACAACTCGTGGACCTGGAAAAAAAAAAAGGAAGGCAAAATATCGGATTGCAGCTTTTTTTTTTTTTTTTTTGGTAGCAAGAGAAACTCTGTGATCTATTCCACGAGTAACTCTAATTAAGGGGCATAATAGTTGAAGGCAAGGAAACAATAGAGAAATTGTTGCAGCACATATTATTCTCCAGAGACTGGCCGCAGCAACAAGTTAGAGAGAAAGAGAAGAGAGACTGGGCTCAGTCTAGTCTATAGAGGAAAATCGGATTTGGTGATAAGATCAAAACACTGGAAACTGGACCTAGGCAATATAGCTGGAGTATACCCAATCCAGCCAGGTACAGCTGGTAGCTTGTGATGGGATCTGTTTGAAGTGGGGCAGAGATGGATGTATTTCCAGGATTTGTAAAAGTAAATAAGTGCGCCTATGCTCTGAAAAGATCCTAGTCTCATCTCAAGGCACAGTTACCCCCGTCACCTCCTGCTTAATCATAATATTTAAGGCTGGCTGAGGTTAATATGGCGATGGGATCTGGATTAGAGCAGGGGTTATTTAATATTGAAAATAATATTCTGACTCGGCGAAATCGCATCCAGTTAAGGAAAGAGTAGGGTGAATGTAAAGGGGTTAAACTATTTTTTTAAAGGATCCGATTCGAATTACAATTAAAAAGAAATGCCGGGTTGGACTCAGCGTGTTTGTCGAGTGTCACATGCTCGTACGGCCCAGGTTACAATATCACACTGCGTTTCCCCTGTATTCTTTGGCAATGTTTATAAGTGTCTACAACAAATCAATGGGGGGGGGGGAGGGGGAGGGAGATAATGAGAGTGGGAGTCACAGTCCCCAGTTCCCTTGGTCTTACCTTTTCTAATTCCAAAAGATGAAACCTTAGTACTTGTATTGCTTGGATCATCTGCAAGAAAGTTTTGAGCGAGGAGTTATTTGCGAGAAGGACGCACTGGGGTCTGCAGAGCTGCGGGCCCCAATGGGCAGAGAGGGGGCTTGTCAGGGCGCACACTCATTAGCCAGGTTTTTAGCTCACTGGTCACGCTTGAGCAATTTTGATCAACTTTAACCCTAAGCACTCGATTTTTATCATATTTATTTTAAGAGCGGTGATTAGTGTCTCACTGGGATCTAGAGAAATCCCTCTCCCCAAGCACTTATTTCTGAGGGTCCGCACAACAACCAACCAAACACACTCACAAACACACACACCTCAAAAGAAAGAAAAAAGGGGAAACGCTCAAGATGCATCTTTTGGCATCTTCTTTACAAGTGGATTTAGGCACTTTTACTATTGAAATCATCCGCATTAGCAAAAGAATTGCGCTAGAAATCTCCAGCTCGCTCTTCTTAAGCAGTTATTTCCTTCACTGTCGCTTCCCGCGGCTTTAAACACAGCTTTGCAATGCATTGGGACTTCAGAGTTTGCCCTGGTTCACTTTAAAAGTGAAGCCTCTTTGAAGCCTCTGGGATGTAGTTTTTAAATCTTTCTGCTTTCCCCCTCCCTGGTCCTAAACCCTGGATGGCTGAACCTGTAACTTTCGGCCGCCTCCAGCCTCCTCACTTACAATGATCCCTTCATGTTTTAGAAAGGTGCTTGTTATGAATATCACAAACTATAGTAAAGGGGTGGGGGGAAGGCAAATGTGGAAGCCTTACCAAATTGTCCAACTCTGGGTTTGAAGAAAAAAGTGGCTTTTCAGCGCGGACCTGCGAGAAGAAGGCAAATCAGTGTAAATTACAGCCCCTGTTCAAAGCCCGGTACGCGAATAACTTGAAGGAAAAACATGTGACAAGCTAGCGAGTCGAAATACGCCCAGGCCAGATTAAAATATTAAAACGCTCAGTGAAATAATGATTTATGTGAAAAAGAGTCTAAACTGCAGCCAGTCCGGTGCCTCTGTCCTTTCAGAGCCCTCTCCTTTTTGATCTCTTGTCTTTATCTGGGTGAGTGTGTCTGGCTAACAACTCGATCACGGGGATTGGGTTGATGGGGATGAGGGTTTGGGGGAGCGAGCAGTTGGGTGAACTAGTTTCAACAGTCTGGAACCGACTCTTTTCTGATGAGGCCAGTGTGGATCGGTGGCAGAACACATTTTCCACTCCACGCCCTAATCCCCAGTTCTAGTGTGGAATCAAAAGATGAGAGCCTCTCTCTCTGAAAGTGCGGTAATAGGTGCTTTTGGGGGGGGGGTGTAGGGGGAGAAGCGGGGTCGGAGGGCTGTGAAAAAGTGCTGGACCTGTTTAGCGAAGACCGCGATGTCCTCGTTGAAAGAGTCCGAGGAGCAGACATCCCCGCCGGCCACACCAGGCTCCCGGGGAGTGCAGGTCGCCAGCTCGCACTTCTCAAAGACCAGCGCTAACAGGGGGAACAACGGGTGCCTACCGGGCAGTGACACACAAAGAAAGAGGGGGGGGGGGGAGAGGCAAGAAAGAAGAGCTCTAATCAACAAGTATACATACACACACACACACACACACGCACACACACACATTACACCCTGCAGCCCTCAACTACGCCTTCAAACCGGGCAAATACAAATGAAAACTTCAAAAAAATATTTTAAAAATGTCAAATCCCAAACCGCATCCACTGTTCAAATCCCACAAACCAGAGACAAAAATAACCTGAACACCGAACAAAACAAACGCATGCACCCACTACAGCAGCTCAGCTGCGAATCTTACACTTTTAGCCACAGCTTTAAATAATATGAAACCAGGACAATCCCATCCCTACCCCCAAGTTAGACCCTAAAATGAGAAACACGGTAACGCGAACTGTTTGCACTTCTTCGTAGTTGGGGTTTTTCTTTATTATTTTTTAAAGGAGACTGCAGGCAAAAAGGTGGTGAAGTTTCCTGGCTTAGAAAGCACACCCAAGTAAAATACCAGCTGTCTAGATAACTGAGCTGGAGAGGGGGAGGGAGAAGCACTTCTAGAAATATTTTCCCATAATTGGAGTAGTCATGAAAAAAAATATCTCTGTGTTAAGTAGTAAGGGTGTGTTTGCCTCTTTTCCCCCTTTGTAGCTCTGATCGGGGGCCCTCCTTGTGTCCTAGAGGTTACTAGCTCTTCTTTTGGGGTAATTTACTGCCCTGAAAGGAACCTGTGTCCTTCCCTCAAAGCATTGCATTGGTACAGGGGTTTTGTTGTTTTGGTTTGGGTTTTTTAATTTTTTTTTCTTTCTAAAGAAGGGAAGCTCTACTCACTGCCTCCAGTTTTTTTCCATTTCAAAGAAGAGTTGACTGCCAGAAGTGAGCCCCTCTATTATTACTCTGTCTTCCGCGATTTGAATACCTCTTTATTTACAGTGCTAGAGGAGTGTTATTATGGCATCTTGATCAACCAGAACAACACTGCTTCAGCTATAATCCAGTGCCGTGGTATCCACCCCCCTCTGTCTCAGCTCCTAACTTTTGCCTCTCGAGAGAAAAAAGAAAAAGAAAAAATAACTTTCTCGTATAGGGGTGTATTTTCTGGTGCACATTTCCTATCGGTACTTTATGTCCCTCCGATGTCATCAGACTACAAATTATTTATTATTAATTATTATTACTGCCAATAAATAACAATAATAATAATAATTAATAATAAGCCACACTACAGGTCTCCCTACAGAGCGGTGATTTGTGTCTGTGACTCTCCTAAAACCCTCACTAGCGGTGTCTCCCAAGTCTTTTTCTCCAAAGCAGACTTTAGACAGAGTTACTTACCCCTTCAACCTCGCCAGCCCGGTGCCCACTGATGGGAGCCCTCTCCCATCCTTCTTCTCCTCTGCCTCCTTCCCCAGGTCCAAAACACACACGCCGCAAGCCGGGCTATGGCGCTCGGGTTACCCTGCATGTACCTACCCGTAGATCGCATCCTTGTCCCGCTTCAAGGCGTCGTTGACAGCCGATCCCATGCTGGCCGGCATGACATTGGGGTGCGGGGCGTGGGCTCCATAGTGCTGGCTGGCGTGTAGCGGCGGCCCATGGTTCAGGTGGTGAACCGGGGGGATCGGCCGGGGAGCGTGAGGGTCTCCGTACATGGAAGCCGGCACCCCTACTCCGTCCATCCCGCCGTAATGGGGCAGCTCATCGTACTGTCAAAAAATGGGCCAGGAGAGAGAGAGAGAGAGAGAGAGAGAGAGAGAGAGAGAGAGAGAGAGAGAGAGAAAGAGAAGGAGAAAAAGAAGAAGGAGGAGGAGGAAGGGGAAAAAAAACAAAAAAAAAAAAAAAAAAAAACAAACAACAACAAAAGTCAGAAGAGAGTAAAGCACCCAGACAGACCACAACACAGCAAAACCAAACAGGAATAGCCACAACGGAGGGAGAGTTATACAAAATGAAATAAAATAAAATAAAGAGCAGAGGCTAGCAAGGGCTGGGGAAGGCGGGGGGCCGTGTGAGGAGGTGAAGAGGTACTGGGGGGGGGGGGGGTGGAGGAGGTCTGCTTCAATCAAGGAAGACGAAACCCTAACAAGGAAACTGGGATGAAAAGGAAGGAAATGAGGGAGAAACTCGAGTTACTCTGAATTAGAAAGCAAAGAGCAGAAATAAATGAATAAACAGAATCAAAAGCAAATAAAGAAAGAAAGAAAGAAAGAACTAAACACTGGGAAGCAGGGAGGAGAAGGTAGGGTGCATGGGGGGAGGGGGGGAAAATAATCTGAAAGTTACCAGAAACATTATTTAGTAGCAATTCCCTTTGTCGTTGTCAGAGCCAGAGACAAAACAAGCAGCAATATATGAGGGTATAGATATATGTATAGATATCCTACGCAGCACGAGCAACGGCAGAGCAGCGGCAGCGGCGGCAGCAAGCCTTCCCCTGCGAAAGCCGTGCTACTGAGCAGCTAGAGTAGCAGGGAAATCGCACTGCTGGGGGAAAAGCTGGAGAGGAAAAAAGCGTGGAACAATTGCAGAGACACACACACACACAGAGAGCGAGAGAGAGAGAGAGAGACGCGCGCACACACACACACAAAGCTGGTGAATAATTTTTGCTGCTATTTTTTAATACTGGCCGCCATCATCATCAGCAACAGAGGAGAGCAAATCGGACAGGCCCCTCTTAAGAGAGGATTTATATATAGGTAAGTGTTGGAGATTTAAACCTACCCTTTGCGCCATCAGTCTGCGCTCCAATAAACTCCTGGATGTGTCGTATATTTAATATCCCAGTCCAGAAAAGAAAGTGATTTACAGTGAAGAAGATTCCTTTTTTTGGCAACCCACTTATAGACTTCGCCTATTCTCCAGTCTGGGTAAATAATAATAATAACAACAATAATAATAACAATAATAAAAAATAATCAGCCAAGAACCACGATGGTTGTGTATTTCTTCTTTTTTCTCTCTCTCACTCTCTTTCCTTTTTCTCTTTCTCTCTCTCTTTTTCCTGTTTTCTTTCTCTAAGCAAAAAAAAAAAAAAAAAAAAAATTGTCAAGCCCCCAAACTGAAGGTTACGATCGGCCCGTCAGCAACCCACATGTAACCAAACTGTCGTGTCTCATGGCTTTTTGCCACTCCAGCTGTCAATCAAAGCCAGGGAATGTCAAGGTAGTGAATGAATGATGGTTGATGATGATGAAGAAGAGAGGAGGAATCTTTTTAACCCCGGTTTCTTCTTCCAGTAACTCCGCGTTTGGGTTTTGCCTTTTAGGATCGCTATTGGGTTTTTTTTTTTTAAAGTACTAGGAAGGGGGGTGGGGAAAGATGCGAAGAAAAATTGAATAGTTTGCAAAACCTGGACTTCCCCCTTTCTCTCTCTCTCTCTCTCTCTCTCTCTCTCTTTTCCTGGTAGGTATTTTGTCTCTCTCTCTCTCTCTCTCTCTCTCTCTCTCTGAGATGAGTGAGTGTCAGTAAGTGTTGGCAGGTTGGCTGCTGGCTGGCTTATAGAAGAGGCTCAGTTTTGCAGCGCTGATCGGCGGGAGAATGAAATGACGGAACCCGGAAGTAGTGGTGGCCATAGCCAGTCCTACAACAGAGACACATACAAGGGAGAGGGGAGAGGGAGAGGAGAGCACAGAGAGAGAGAGAGAGAGAGAGCGAATAAAGCCTGTGATATGCAGAGTATGTAATCAGGACTGCTTCAACTCCACATGGGGGGAGCCATACAACAGATCATACCCATAGCAAATCAACCTTCCTTTTCATATAGGAAAGGGAGAGTGTGTGAGAAAGAGGGAGACACAGGAGGAGGAAGAGAGAGAGAGAGAGAGTGTGTGTTTGTGTGAGAGAGGGGAAGAGGGAAAACTGCAGAAAGCAAGAAGAAAAGTACGATAGAAGCCTAGACCTGGTTTGGTTTTCACTAGATTATTTTACCAGCAAAGTATATCCTGCTTTACTGCGTTGTTTAGCATATTGTTAACAAATTTTTAATCTTCAGATACCACTGTAGCCGCGAATGGTATGCACGTCTGTGGGAATAGACAGTTAAAATGTAAAGGGGCATATAAAGTTAATCTTCTATAGGAAACAAGCTTGCTTTAACAAAGTACTGCGTCTCTGCCAGAATGTTATGTTTAAAGGGTGGTTTCTTTCCTGTGTAAATTCATTACGCTGTTTAAAAAATTAATTTTCCAGGACATGAAGAGAACACCTCATTCAAACTATATTTGGCATTGTTCTTCATTAAGTGATCGCTTCTCTCAACCGCAGTTGTGATGTCTGGGGGGGAGGGAGGGAGGAGGAGGAAGAGGAGGGAAATCCCTTTAGTTTTGTGATGAGGTTTTTGGTCTTTAAAAGGGGCTTTAAAACAAAGTCATGGTTACTCTTTTGTATGATAAGCCCAAAATGTTATGTAGATTTTGTTTGCACGTTTATGTTGAGCCAGTCACTGGGTCTTGTGTGTACAATGTACTTACGTATGTATGTATGTATGTTGCTGGACCTTGCTCTAGATCTGTGTTGTATTTGGGGAATATATGCTTAAGTATTAACTCGGTAATGCCTTCTAATGGTAGTGCTAATTACAGTAGGGTTGTTTAGCAAATTAAGTGAGATGGTGCACCCTCCTTGAGCACACAATTAACTTACACACACACACACACACACACACACACACACACGTTAATTTTGGTATGTTTCTCTCGCCCAATCACTTTGCTGGAACTAAAACATGCCTTACCTCAGAGCAGTCAATTACCAAAGCTACCCGAGATCATCAATCATGGGGGATAGTTGAAGTTTAGGGGAGGAGCAATGGTCAAACTATCGATTGCTGCACTTTTGTCCCCCACTCCCCCTTTTTCTCGTTCACGGTCCCCTGCACATAAAATCTAAAACAGACTATCCCGTTAATAGTGGGATTTATCAATGATTATGTATGTATCCAGTTGTGAATGTGGCCTCATACATAGATGGCTTTTAAACATACACCGCAAAAATGTATTTGAGTCAGTTAGGGATTATTATTGATATTTTAAGATTTTTTTTTGAAACTAACTAACTAACTAGATGCATAAAAAAACCCAAAGGGTAATTATAGAAATTTGGCTAGATTTTAATGGGCATAGAGAATGAGCTCCAGAGGTCAATAAACCCCTCGAAAATGATGAATGATTGAGTACCTGTGATGATGATAGTGATTACCGGAGCAATTAAACAGTTTGATTAAATGAGCCATCATAACAATGATGTCTGCGGGAAATCAGCCCTCACATATAAAGAAAGATAGGGTGGCGGGCTGACAAACGCCAGTGGGCATTCCTACGAGTCCTGATAGCGGTGAGCCCTGCAGAGCAGCATGTATTTACAAATATGAGAGCAATATGGAGAAAAGTCACTCAGATACTTTTAGCCAGACTGGCACCCTCCTTAAAAATCGTCAGAAGCCGAAGAGCAGACCGGTTATTTTTCCCCTAGAGGATCTCCTCCAAGATTAAAGCTAGCTCTAAGAGCAACCGATATTCTGTGACTGACTTTCACGGGACTATAAAGAAAGGTGAGTAAAAAGCCCTTAGTATGTAGATCTCTTTCAAGCAGTGGTTAAGTCGATTCATTTTGCAAGGAAAAAGCCGGTTTTGTTGTGCAGTATTTTATACTCTGTCGTATAAATCGGTAACGCAATTCAAGATATTCATGGTAATGAATACTTGGCTAATCCTTTGGGTGCACCGAGACCTACAGAGCAGTAGGTTATGCAAATCCTTTCCTAGTTTTACAGCTGTACTTTTCTAACAGATTTTTTTTTTTTTTAGAGATCTAGTCATTTGCTTTTTCGCCCCCTAGAAAGATGCCAAATTCCTAAACTTCATCGGAATCATCTGATTATGGTACTTCCAATATACCCAAGCTTTCAGGTTACATTTTAAATATGTGCAGCTTCTCAACTTATTTTCTAATAGTGGCAGAATGAATACAGCTGTATGTCTCATTTCAAATAGCTTCAATATGATGCAAGAAAGGATCCTTCATTGTAATATAGCTGTATAAAAGTAATCTAGTTCTACTGAAGACTTCGTGTATTTGTTCAGATCCCAGGCTGGGTGTATTGTGATGAAAGTTTATCCGTTTCCTTGTAAAAAGGAAGTGTGTGCACCACTTGATTTACAAATAAGAGTGTGCTTCATTAATTATAGCATTATTTTATACTTCATTTTTTCCCCCATGCATGATTTTCATAATATTCAATGTAGATTTCAATTCTCCAGAGTAAAGAATTGCTAAAGAGCAACATAAATATAGCTACAAAAATAGCAAAAAGATGTTGCAGTACCAAACGCTGCTCTTTTCACAATTTTCATTTCAAACTAAAGCCCCCGAGCTGGCTAGCCGTGACCTGTGCGTGCCACCTAGAAGCAAGACCAACTTTTAAAAATGATTTTAAGCTGGTAGAAAGTAAAATTTCATATGATCAGGCAAAGGTTTTTCATGCTCCCCGTTGTGTCATTTTCTATGATCAGGGCAGAAGAAAGATAGAACCTTTTCCCACTATCCCAGTGGATTAAAGCATACAATATATGGGAATCTAGCTGAAAGCGCTACAGTTTAGCCATTAGAGGATCTAAAGTTAGTGTCCCAAAATGAAGCCTCGGACCTATTCAGGATTAGGTAGGAATGTAAGAAGCAGCAGAACTCTTAGCTCTTGTTAGTCGTGGTAGGGTTTTTTTCTTCCTCACCTCTTGCATGGTGGGATACCCTTTAAAAACAGTAATTCAGGGAGATTAAATTGGCTGATTTCCAGTTTCGCGTGCACACACAAAGGGTGATCCCGTGAAAAGTGCGAGAGAGGCGCATGATTTGTTTTGTTTTTTTGTTTTGTTTTGTGTGTGTGTGTGGTTTTTTTTTTTTTTTCAGATTAGACCAAAATCCAAAGAGAAATTAGGTGTCCGGTATGGAAGTGCATCTCCGTCAACAGCCAGCTCCTTTTGCCGAGGCTGGAAATGGTTTTAACAGGCGGTAAAATTTCATCTTGTGGTGTCAAATTGGGGTCAGTTTGGGGTTAGAGCTCTCAGTGTCCGAGAAGGAGCTGTCCAGCTGCGTGGGGATTCATTAAGGGCAAAAGATCCGTTTCAAGAAAAACAATACAAAGACAATCAGAGGGCTAAAGATCCTCTTCAAATCGCATTTTACAAGTGCACCAGAACAAATATGGACGCTGAAACCTATTCCCTTCAAACTCCCAAATCCGCTTCTTAGCTCTTGGAGGGAGTGAGAGAGAAAATCCGCTAAAATTTAGTCTGTTTTCAATCAGCCTTTCCGAAGTGTGGCATTTTAGCCTTCTGCTGGCTTTGAGATCTGCCTCTATTTCTGAGAGCCCCTGCAAAAACGGAGTTGCACAACAGGTAATATTTTAGTTGCAAGAAGTATATTCCATTGTTTATGTTAAACTACTGCTTTTATGCACAGTGCCATATTTTATTGCAAATAGAAAGTTTGGGGAAACAGGCTATGCTTACATGAAATCACTATTTACTGTTCGGAAATCCTCTACTTCCTATAGGCAGTCATTTTGGTTTAATAGATATTTTGGGTAGTTTACTTTGGGGTCCCTAACAGTTTGAAAATTACGTATTGTTAATCTGGTTTATTAAATTCGAGTGGTTTAGATCCTTTTAGCCTTCTTACCTCTGTTAGAATAATTGACTCCTGGCTGAAGGGACAAATTATTTGAACCTTAATCTTGTTTGTAACTTTATTCAATGTTACTTTGATTGTTTGCTGAGTCGAACTATTTTTTGGATCATGCAAATTGTATCCAGAAATGTAACCTATCCTCCACATTTGCAGACAAACTATAATGGAAAGGTAAGGGATATTGCAGAATAACATGAATTATTTTGAATATTTTAATTTGTATTTTTCTTGGAATATTGTTGAATGAAATGCATCAGATTTAATGACGAAAGAAGTAATTCTGTTTAAATGGTCTGTAGGATTCTAATACAACCATAACAGTGTATCAAACTCCACAGGAAGTTTTCTTTTCAGTGTACTATCCAGAAGATCAAGTGTAATATGTTACTATTCCATTCTTATTTTTATTATAAGGAATATTCCATATTTTAATCTCCCATATCAAGAACTTCACTTTGCTGATTTCTTTACTGTCTCATACGAAGAATAGGTTTCATTATTAAAACTTGATCCGTTTTTACTCTTTCAATCTAATTCTTATTTGGTTTTCCCCCCAACCCCACCTCTCCCCTAAATTATTCACTAAATATGTGGATTCAGGCAGCTGCATCATTTTCTAGGTCTGGTCTAGAATGCCCCTTTAAAATTAAGTACATTTTAGTTTCTTCAGCTCGCGGTGTGCATTTAGTTCATTTACTTCTTCTCTCCCCCCCCCCCCTTCCAATAATGTGCTTTGCTCCTCCTCTCCCCTTTTCAGCAATCTATTACTTTCCGAAAATCTTTCCACTCCAGAAAGTCAATGGTAGCCCATCACGGTGAACTTTTCTTGACCTCCACTGCAGTATGATTGGGATCTTTGGAAGTTGGATTAAGAGGAGGTTCATTTAGTTACCTGTTAACATCCTCCCCCTGCCCCTTCTTTCTCTTTCTCTTTTAAAAAACAACACGAACCTCGAGAGATCTAGGTTCTCTATTCACTTGCAAGTCCCTATTATTCTCCAATAAACTCCAGAGATTTAAAACGGCACTTGTGGGGTGGCTTTCCCCCCTCCCTTATTTCTCTCTTTCTCTCCTGTTTGTTCTGTTAAAGATCCCACAGAAGAGAAGAAGCGATTCAATAAACAGCCCTCTAGCGCTATCTGGCGGGACTCCAACACTTTCAGAAAAGGGCTTTTTCCATTCAGCTCCCAAATATTGCGCTTTTTTTTTTTTTTTTTTGGTTTTGCTTTGAACAGTTAAATGAGACCAGAGCGTAGCACAGAAAAGCCTTTCTCACAAGGTGAGGGTAAAAGTGGATTCCAAATTTGGGAGTCCACTCACCCGAAGAAACATGGGTGGAAATCTTTTACGTTAAGGTGTTCTTCCCCACCCCCCTTTTGCACCCCCCCATCTATCCCCTCACTTCCTTTTAGGATAATTGTATCTTCCTTAAATCGGAACCCACTGCAGCGGCTTTTGGGGGGGGGGGTGGTGGTGAAGAGGGGCATTAAAATAATCCCCAAGTCAACCTGAATAGGCACCCCCTAGAATGTTATGTGAACTGTATTTGAAGTGCTAATGTAAAAGGATAGAGCGTCTTTCACATTTTGTAGGCTGTACGAAATGTACACGTGAAGATCAGACCTATTCGGCATAAACAGACAACCTGGATACTTACATCGAAAGCAGAAAGGGAAAAAATACCTGTCAATATTTCGTAATAACGCAGTGGGGTCGGTGCAGAACTAGCAATTTGCTTTGTATTTATTGGAGGAATCCGTGGACATAAAACAAATCTTTCCAACCTGGCATCATAACAAAAGGAAAATTAGGGATTTAAAAAAGAAAGATGGATAATAAAACCGGTTTATTATAGCAACCACAGAGCCTTCCAGCTACACTTGCAGCTTCCTTCTCTCGCTCAAATTAGTCACTTTTGTTCTCCGGCTGCCTACAAAACTCCAAAAGGGGGTTCGTTTTATACTGGAGTTTGGCTTGGGGTATGCAGAGAACAATGTCTGGACTCCCTTTGAAATGACTGGGACACACACACAGTCGAAGTACCCATTTCCCTCTTTGAAAGATCTACCCAGTCCATTGTCTGAAGCGGGACACAGATCTTAACTTAAAAATAAATAAATAAATGCTTAGAGCTTGGTCTGTTCATGCATAAAAGAAATGGCTGGCAAAACAATATAACGTGTTTCCTGGAAATATAGTTTTGAGGCTGGCATGAACAGCGCTCGCGGTGTTTTACCAAAAGATGGAGAGTTTTATTTCTAAAACAATCGGCTCTCCTCTGTACGCCTTTCTGTTTGATCCCACAAAGAGCATGCAACATACATACATACATATTTGTGTTTGTGCCCCATACAAGAAATGCAAGGGACGTGTAACAGACCATACGGCCAGTTAGTCCTCATAATGCTTAGTTTGGCTGTAATTAATTGAAAACAGTTATTAGGTCGTCATTGGCAATAGCGTAAATAATTGCAGCAGATTTTTACTTAAAATTGACCGGTCACAGAGTGATAGATCGATTCGAGGTATAAAAATGATGTATCAAAACATCAATGTCGATTATTTGAAATATTGTAGTCGAATCTTTTTATTGCTTCATCGGTTAAGTGTCTGAAAGTGCTGTGTTCCAACATATATTTATGTTGTCAATACTGTCAAAACTGTCAGTTTTATTACAGTGGATTTGTAATACATTTCGGATTTGCTCATTTACATAAAATACCGCCCCCCCGCGCTCTGAGCCCCTCTCTCCTTTTCCTATTTCTGGAAAATCTATGTCAGTTAAATCAAAGGATTCAGGGCGCTGCTGCAGCAAAAAGTACAGACCCTGCTCCATTAAAATCCCCTTTCTGCCCCGCTTTACAAGTCTTGGGCTATTTCTCACTTGCATAGAGGTGGATTGTCCCTCACCTCCCATTTCCCCCCAATAGAATTTAAACACTTTATCACAATCCCACTTAAATTAAACCCTTTAGGAAATTGGGACGCCTACACGAACAGACAGAGATGCACCTAAATGAGCCAGATCGCACTTGTGAAGACTGAAAAGCAGAGGCGAAAAAGGAACTGACCATACACGTTTCGATGGTAGTTGCAACAAGGAAGCAAAAGAAGCTATACATATAGGTGCGCTGTGTATTTCCCCTCTTAGCGGCTTTGGAAGTGAAATGAAAAACGCGAGTTAGGAGCAGTATCGACAGGTTTTTTTAATTCGTCTCCACTTTAACAAGGGCATCTCAGAACCGATCATTTGCTTTAAAAGTAAAAGCGTTTTGCTAAGGGGCAGCCAGCTGATTTAGGTACTTCTCTCCACTTTGCACGGAGAGCCTAGTAAAAGGAATAAAGGAAATCTACTTAAATGCTAAACTCTCTCGAGTCTATACATAGTCAAATTAGCCGAGTAACTTTATTCTCTTCCCTGGAGAAACTGCTTGTGAAAGGTGTTTCTGAGATGACTTGAATTATCACTTGGGGATCTGTGTGTTCAAAGAGCGTATGAAGAGGTGGCCGGGTGCATGTGGAATAGGCAAGGTTGCATTGCTAACTGCAGAGCTTCTTTTAATGACCGACCAGCCCTCTTAACACCTTCTATTTACATGCTTGTTTTAGCCGTAAGATTTTCGAAATGTAAACTGTGATTCATGGTCTAAATGTCGCGTGTGTATCTCTCTCTCTCTCTCGGTGTGCGTGTGATCCCTTCTGAAGTAAATGGAGAAGTATACTGCGCAAAGGGGGGAAATCGCCCCTGGGGTGCTTTGTTTACTTTGGCTTGTAAAATCCTGCTAGGGGATGGTTTCCGCAGTGTGTGGCAAGTGTTTCTTCAAGAAATTCATCAGCCCTTCTGCAATTACTCCGTGGTCTGCGGGAAGAGAGCTGCCATCACTTTCTCACGTCCCAAGGTGTTGCACAGCGGAGAGAAGGGGGGGGGAGGGAGAAAGCCGAAACATTTAATTATAATTGAACATAACAATGAAAAACCCTCCCAAGATTGTACCTAGAAAAACTTCCAGGGAATGTTTGGGAATGCTGGGTGTCGTTTCTTCTTTTGGGGAAAGGGGAACGACACCCCAGCTCGTGAAATAATTAGCCGGAACAATAAACATAGTTAGAATAAATATCAGTTAGAATTTCTGCGTTTTTAAAATTACGTTTCATTTTGCGGTAAGCCGTACAATTATGAATGCCTCTCAATTAAACACAATCCACTCGGAAAGCAGTTACCAACAATTATTCTTTAATCAGTTGGACTGGTAGCCCCAAATGATGCTGTTAAACATCAAAGGGACGCCTCAGAAGTTACCTTTTAGTCCTAAGTAAGAGGATTAATTTCTATAATTAGAGGGGATAAATATGTGCATAAACGCATCTAATTTTTGGTACACGCTCTCGTCCTATCTGGGAGACAAGAGCGTCTCTAACAGGGCAAACGCAAGCGAGCAGGATTCCCCGTGGGCTAAAAGCTGACGTACCCCGGAGAGGTGTATATGTGTGTGTGCCCCTTCGCACCTGTAAACGTGATGGGAACTGAGACTGGGCTCGATTCTGTGCACGGGCGGCGGACCCTCAGCTCCCACCATTGCCATCAATGGGCGCTGAGGCCGCAGGATCGGGCCCAGTAAATCCAAAGAAATTCAGCACGATTGTAAGATCACGGGATATATTTAAAAAAACAAAACAATCACTGGGGTCTGTCTCATGTTTTGATTCCCAAGGGGACAGTTTACTGCTCCCAACTGAAGCTCAAGACTGAGTTTAATACTACTAATAAAATTAGCATGACCTTGATTACACCCTGTATGAATATCTCATTTACCTAACGACTTTATGTCACGTACGCAGAAGGTCAACTTCCTTTTAACCTTTCCCATTGCTGCAGTAAGCATTCTCTTATAATCAATGGCTGTTTGAATAATCAATTCACATTTTATGATCCCTGACAAACTCAATATATGTGCGCCTCGTTTCAGCACGGCCGCCTGGACTTCCCAGGGCCGTTTACATGTGGGGGAGAATTTGCGCTGGGGTCGCCCTGGCAGCACCCGGGGCGGTACTTTCATCCGCCCAAGAGCCCGGAGACCGCGGAGAAGTTACTGATCACAGCAGCGTCCCTCCAGCCAGGGAGCGCACTGCCAGCCCGGAGAACGCTGCCTTGACCATGAGCAAACGGCTGGCTTCTCTGCTGGGGTTCACCTCTAAGTTTGGCCCGCTCCCCCTATTGCTGTTTTGCAACCACACTTGGTCGAGAGCTTTTCCTTGTGATCATCAGCGTTATTATTTTTCAAAATAACCGTAAAGTGGAATCCTGCCGCCCCCTGACTCCTGCCAGCCTGGGGACCGGTTGGTGAATAGCCTGGACGTGCTATTTCACACGTTTTTCATACCGTTCAAGCCAAAATGTTGTGCCCTCCCCCTCTTCCTCCATTCCCTCCTAGGAATGTACATAATCAAATCACCTGGGACACATTTCCCTTCCTCTATGTGCTAGGATAATAAAGGATTACAATGGAGAGTACTCCCACCTCCCGGAAGCTAAAGGTAGCCTCTTGCCTGATTGCCCCACCTCCTTAATGATGTCTGAGGGAAGCATGGTGTCTTCTTCAGATACTTTGCGCACATGTAAAACGTTGAATTAAACTTTGCATTAGATTAAATATCCCACTGACATTAACTACGTTCTCATCGCCACCAACTTCTTCAGTTTTATTTGGGTGCCCTAGCTCGGTCCAAACCAACCACGTGTGGAGCAACTTACCTCATAAATTGCAAATGGTAGGGAAAGAAAATGTACCTCAACCACATTTCATTATGAATAAAACAACAAAAGCTACGAAGTGGGGGGAGCTGAACTTTGCAAATGTTTTTGTGTAAGTAGCTCACATTTTGAGGTGATCTATTGGTGCGAGTCAGGAAGTGAGAGTATAACCCTGTTCCCTCTACTGGATAATTAACCCTGATTCATAGCCTTTTCTACCTAGGAAAGTATGTTTCGTTTCCCTCTGCAGAGTCCACGTTACCTACTGGTCATTGGTATGTTGTTATTCCCTGAAAGTAATTGCAGGTGATATTCTCCTGGGCAGACTCATTAGCCAAAGGCAGGGTGCCGTTGCCAGTCTTATAAAGTCTTCCAACAACTCAGTAGAAACGTGCTCCAGAGGTTTAGTACAAATGGGAGCATATTCTCAGCGCCCGAAACAATTGTTAGGTGCAGCATCTCCCCCCAAGGGGATGGAGGTCAAAAGGGAAGCATTTTTCGTCCCACTCAATCAGGACATATTTCTGAGTCCCATCCTTCTCTGTGCATGGTTAAAGCTGCAACAGAAGACCAATTTAGGCATAATGAAGATATTCAAGTGTTTCTGAACCTTTGTCCTACAGTCTCCAGAAGAAAAAGCCCTATACACCCAGATACAGATGAGACAGTTGAGAAGGCAGCTTCCAAATTCATTAGCCTGCTCCCCTTTACATCCTTTTAAGATTTATTATATGCATTCTGAAAACACTCAACTGCCACCCACCCTTACAGACCTACATGTAACTTCTTTCTTACACATGTTTGGTATCACCTATCTGTCTGCTTCCATCACTCCTACTAAATAAATTACACCACAGGTGCTTAGAAAAACCCAGGGAAAATAAAACAATTTCACCTCATTTTGTGAAGGGAAAAATCTGCATGATTGTTTGTTTTATTTTAATTTTTTTCTGGTGTTCTTCATTTACATTTTTTTTTATTTTTTTGAATCTTGGCAGGTTAAGCGGGATGGTTCAAAATTACACTGCTGTGGAAGGGCTAATGCAGCTACCAAATGCCCCTCACAAGATGGATGAAGAAGAACTAGAAGAGACAACAAATAGGCTCATCAAATCTCAGGCTATCACTACATCCATGAGCAATTTCAGGCTACCTAAGAAAGTCTAGAGAGCTGTATTGATTATGAATTATGCTGGCAATTGTATGTTTTTAAATAAAAAAATAATGATGGTGTCAAAGAACATGGATATAGAATGAAGTGATTTTACTCTTCAAAGCAAACAATGAAGTTTCATGACTAGGCAGCTCATTGTATTCAGAGACTTTAATTACTCAGAGCTCCTTCCCTTACAGCTAGCTGATAAGACTCAAAGGGCAAAACCCATCTCTGGTGTACTCCACTGACTTCAATAGTGTTCCACCAGGGATGGATTGGCCTAAGTGTTTCTGGCAGGATTATGCTAATATAATAATATTTATAATAATCTTCATGCAGAAAGCCAGGAAGCCAGAGATTTGACCTCTGTTAATCATGTAGATCTGCACACTTCAAAAGACCTGAAATCATCTTGTAGGTCTCATCTGCTAGAGGAGAAGATGCCTTTGAAGGGAATCAACCTTCCAGCTGTGCTTCGCTTCAGGCAATCCCCTCCATATGTTGATAGCCTTCAATATTTTGGGGTCCAAACTTATAGACAAAACTCCCATTGATTTAAATGGGATTTTTGCTGACTGAGGAATACAGGACATGGCTATCTACCTGATTCTGCAAGATGCTGAGCACCCCATGAAAAGTGCTGAGTATGCCTAATTCCCTCTGACTTTAATAGGAATTGTGGACCTTCGGCACACAGTAATCAAGCTCCAGGCACCTCAGAGGATCAGGCCCTTAATTAGTATTTTAGCTATTGTCAGTCATAGTTTTTGTATGACATGTTTTCAACACCATCTCTGATATTATGAAGTGCATGATATATGCTGCAGTTTAAAATATTTTCCACATCTGCAGAAATAAACAGGCTTCTTAAGTGATGAAACAAGATTAATCCACAATATACTAATACATTTCTTATAAAGCAAGTATATACAAATTTATAAACCTCCTAGTATTACGTCATATGCAATTATAACCCATCACTAATAGTTCTATTGATTGTGGCATAAAAAGCTCTAATAGAAGCAGTTCTTTGGAGTAGAGAAATAAAACAATAAAAAAAAACAAAAAACATAAGAAGTGTTTGTCCTGTACTCTTACCTTGAGGCCATATTACGATCACTATAAGACATATCCAGGCATGTGTCACACTTGATAATACTATTTCTTGGGTGTTTGAGGGCACTTGGCTTTACCTTGTACTTCACAACAGCTGAGCCATGTCACTTAGCTGCATGATCCTGGCTCTAGTGGAAAAAATTATTAAACTAGATATATTTATTGTTATTTTACACTAAATACTGAAATATTTCATTTGCATCATTCACACACATTAAAACACACATTTTTTCCAAAGGTTTTCTCTTGATGGAAGAGCTGATCAAATTATTAATTTTGAATACATACTAGCTGGTCAAAATAGTGCTATTTTCTGTTCTCAAATGCATGATTATTGATATGTGTTATGTTAGCACCAAAAAACCTCAAAGAAGGATTAGGGCCCCATAATCAATCCTTATTTCTGTGAAAGTATTCGTTTCTTGCAAGTTGAATAGTTTAGGCAAACAAATTTCAGTCTATGGGCCCTTTGCAAAATGTTCATTTAGACTCTTTGCAATTCATTATTCTTGATGTATGACTGGCTACCTTAGTCACATGGTATTAGTTCTGCTCTCCAACTGGTTGGCTAAAGTTTATTAAACAGGAGGTTAACAGCAAAAAGCAATAACAAATATTCACACCTGATTTTGCTTCCATTTAAGTCAATAAAAGGACAAAGAGCACCCATCGCACCCATCTATGAGACGAACATCTGTTTGTACGAATGTTCACATATAGTGAGTAAAAAGGGATACAAACATGACAAACTAAACTCTCATTTGGAATCTGAACACCAGTTCCAAATATAGTTTTGCAGTATGAAATCAGCTCTATTTTTTGTGAAGACAATATAATTACAATTTTACAGCATTATTATAAAGAACCAAAATTCATGAGGAGAATTGTCCTAATTTTCTTCCCCTACCTAGGTTTAACTCCAAATTATTCTGTGTTACAAATGGGTCTGGTGCTTGGAGCAAGAAAAATATTGTTTGTCCCAGAGGCAGATGCTCCTTGATCTGTTGTTTTCAGATTTCAGCCATTGATAAGGTGTTGGCTGCACCCTATAGATTCAGGATAACAGTTTGATCTGAGAATAAATATCTAAAGGAGTTTTTAGTGTTCGAGGGAGCCATTCAATTTCTTACCTACCCCAACATAAATGGAAAAGTAGACATAAAGGGCTTGGTCCTGCATTTTTTGTGCTTTGAAACTTCCTATTGACTTTACTGGGAGCTATGAATATGTGAATGTTGGGTCCTTATTTTGATGGAAACTACTATATTTCTATATTGTTATTTTTACAGTTGTAAAACTCTGTTTTGTGTCTACTACCACCATACAAAAAGAGGAAGAAATGAAATATTTATGGTACCCAAGAGTAAAATATTGTTTTATCAATAAGTATCAATGGTTCCAAATCATGGCTTTCCAATTCAAATGCAGATCTGAACTGCTGTAAAGTTTGAAGGTGTTAGGATAAAGGGTTTTAATTCAGGCCTTTCTCCCTTAATAAAGTAATAAATAGAAATTGCTGTTGTTACAAAGAAACACGTTTGCAAAAAATACTGATAGTTTGAATGTGAAGTCAGCAGGGGGAAAAAGACAGGAAAAATAATTGGGTCTGAGTTTCTTCTCTGGTGTAAGCTAGGAGTAACTATATTGAAGTTACTGGAATTTCACTGGTTAAAGCTGGTGTGAGGGGAGAATCAGGCCACTTGTGTTTAAATAGATGGAATTACTTTAAGAGTATTTTTAAGAAAACAATCTGCAAATAAATACAAAACAACAGGGCAAATATAGACATATTACCTTTTTTGCGTGCATGCTTATTTGTAAGTGCAAATTAGATTTGAATATTCATGAGTCACAAATCATTGACAGTTTGAAATAATGCAAAATGAGGTGAAGGCAAGGGACATCAAAGAAATGCATCATTAAATCAATAGCAATTTGATTGTGCATATACTTGTAAATTGCAGTTACAGTTTTTGACATAGGAGAAAAAATGTGCACTTGGTGAAGAAAGACATATAAAGACTCTTTTTGTCTGTGTTTATATTTTTGCAGTTCAGCATGTACTTGGATAACTGCTGTGTATAAAGTGACCAGACATAACTTTTTTATTTTTTCAAGGCAGTTACAGTTTCTTTTGCCTGTCCCATCTCTTGTATTGTTTTGCTTATTAAGCTAAACATTCAATTTTCAATATATCTGAACAGCAATGTTGTAAAATAACGCTATTACTTACTGGACGTGGTTTCAGAAGAAGGTTCACCTGTGAATCAGAGTACTATCATAAAATCATGTTCAGTGGAGATTATCCACTTGTTTCAGGGAATTTTTTTCTATGAAGTGGGAGTGAGTTGCAAGTCTTAGGGCAAATTGCTGGAGTACAGGGCTTTAAAATAATGACAGGTTGAAAGATGGCCAACCTAACCATTTAAATCAGAGCTTTTTCATTTTGCCCTTCTGTAAGCATCAATAAAGTATTGGATCTCTGTCTCACTTGTGAGCTTTGTGGCTATTTAAAATGGAATAGTTTAAAATGTTGATGAGTATATAGAGCCAAAAGGTAAAACTGCTGAATATAAATGAATAAAGCACTCATTTAAAAATTACTCCAATGTATTTGTTTCTCCTAAATGTTCCTTCTTTGATTATTAAACACAAACTGTAAGATATTAGCCAGCATTCTTTCTTCAGTGTCCTCTGTGGTTTCTCTGTTCTCCAAGATAACTAATGAAGGGATATGTAATGGGTCAAGTGAAGTTATACATACATAGTAGCACTGATGTCAAAACCAAGCAATAACATCAATTTGGCAGTGGTACAGGGGACTTTGGTCCTTTAAGAAAGAGAAGCACATGATTTCTTGCAGTGCTGTGTTTAAAAGCCTCCACTCACAGGAATGAAGCTTGCAATTAACTCATGTCAAAACACTGCAGAAGGGGAAACCCAGATGTCGAATAACTTTGGAAAAGGATAACCTCACGTCCTCCCCAATCCCCAAGATAAGCTTGTCAGAAAATATGTCTCTCATGCTATCTAGAGACCACAAAATACCTGTATATTCCATGTTTAAATTCAAAATCAATTCTGCAAGAAACTCCCTTTATTTGTGAATTCTACTGTGTGAATAAACAATAAATTTAAAAAGATCCTCTTGAAAAATTAAAAGTCCAGTTTGACTTTTCTTCTCATCTTCAGAGTTTCTTGTGAAAGAAATGAATCCCTCCTCAGAGTGAGTGAATGGGGAGAACATTAGCTAGTGGACTGGAAATCAGCAGTTCTAGATTCTACTTCTGGCTTTGCCACTGAATCACTGGCTGACCTAGGGCAAGTCATTTAAGCCGTGCCTCAATTTCTCTGTCTGTAAAATGATGCTCATAATAGGTAATTCACAAGGTACCGTGAGTCTTCATTCACTGATGTTTATAAATCAATGTGAGCTCCTCAGCTGAAAGGGGGATCTGTATGAACACAGTGTTATTATTATCATTATAATTCCCTGCATGAAATGTCTCCTCAGCTAGTACCACTCAAATCCTCTCTAATTTCTTCAAATTAAATAATCTTGAGGGTTTTTTTGAGGAGAGACTTTGGGGGAGGGGCTGCAGCCTTTTGTCACATTCAGTAAATCATATAATCTTCATTACTCCAAATAAGAGAGTTACTGCCTTTTTAGATTAGGAACTGGTAGCAACCCTGTAAATGCATGCATAAAAGTAAAGGAGATAAATGCTGAGCATTTTCCCATTCTATTTAGATTCTTACATTGCACCCATCACCATGGTATCCAAGTGCTGCTCAGAAGAAATTTGTTCTTCCTTCTGGTGCACTGAACTCATAGTAGCTATTGCATTACCAGTGAAAATAGGTCACTAGTGCTACAGCCTGATCTTTATTTCAGCAGAAGACTGAGAGCCTTGTTCTATTTTCCCATAAAAGTAAGGTTATTTGATTAGAAACTTGGACCAGCATCTCTATGTAGTGAGTGATCAAAGTTTGGACATGTTAGTGAGGTTTTTCTCAGAAGAAACTCCTGGTGGGTGACAATCGGAAAGTAGCTCAGCTAGGGCATATCAAAGCCTCCACAGGGTCAATACATGAATTAATTTAACAGGAAATTCTTTGCTGTCTCCTCTCCAAATCTCCTTCCTTCACCTGCTCCTGCCGGAATTCCTGGTGTATCTCTAACTGCTCTCTACCTAGCCACTTGTGAACTCTTTTGTCATAGAGTCAGGGGATACTGACCACTGCCCTGTGACAGGGATATAACCTTTTGCAGCCCTAACCCTTAACATGTGACTGGAACCAGGAAATAAGGACCAGTCTCAGGTGAGCACTCCTGGCATCACAACTTTGTTATACATTGAACAAAACAGACCCAAGGTCTGATCCAATGAATGGGATCTAGATTCAAACTCAGGATGGCTCTTCATAGGTTTACCCAGACAAATTCCCTGCACGGTGAGGAGGGGTCCTAGGTGGGAGGAAACCACAAGCCTAAATTTCCTTTTTCCATTGTCAGATATAAGGGCCAGCAGGAGGGTGCAAGTAGCTCACAGATGAGGACCAAGATCATAGTAACTTGCTGTTTAGCTCCCCAGGCAGTGCTCTTCCTGCTGTATTTTGTGTGGGTTCTGACTTGCTTCTTCCCAGCTCCTTCACCTTTTCAGGCTGGGTTGTTTCATCCCATTGACAATTTCCTAGATTCCTGGGGGAGGAGTATAGTACAGGGGCTCATGCCCAGGCCCCTGGGGTGTCTGCCTTCTTTGGGGAGGGGATGTTCCTCACCCAAACTGCCCCAGATTATTTTCTTGTGTGGGCATGGATAGAGGCAGGAATGGTGGAAAAGGGTGCTCCTTTTTCCTATTCCCAAGTCTATTTAGAGCAGTTGCAGCCTTAGTCAGACAAGAGGCCCTGCCCCCCTTTTGAGCATATAGGAGAACCTTACTGTGGGGCTTGGCAAGAAAATAGGAAGAAAAAGGGAAGAGTGAGTTAAGGGACCCTAAGTGACAACAAATAACATTATAAGGGTAAGATTGGCCAGTTACTGTCCTGATCATTACATTTATGAAATGGTCAGGGGAAAAAAAATGAGTGTGGACACATTTTGAAGAAAAGGTCTAAACTAAAGGGCAGATTGTGTTGAGCACTTGCCCAGGCAGGAGAGGACCTTTTGCACTGTCTGGACAGGAGCCCAAAAAGCCTGCAGTTCCTGTGATCAGGGAGCAAAAGGGCCACATGAGCCTAGAACTCATAATGTAATGCCTTTGCTAAGGAGCCAGGTGCGGGGTCGGGGGGGTGGGGAGCCAAACGAGAAGCAAATGCTCCACCTTCTTCTCATCCAGAGATCCTGGAGGCACTCGGCATGCCTGAGGTACTGTGGGCATGATTCCTTTCTCTTTGTCACTGGTGTCAATCAGTAGTGATTCCACTGGAGACAACAGAATTACACACCATTGTGATATGAGTGGAGAATCATGCCTGAAGTCTCTCAGAGTTCCTGTGAGGGCGGGTCACTTCCTGACCACTCCCAACACAGGGCAGTTTGCCTTAGATACACAGTTTACCCCCAAGCCTTCACTTTGTAGGGAAAAATGTGCTCTTGGCAGTTTTGCTTTGACCCGGAATATGTATCATCTCACTAAACTTCAACTCTATGTTAAATGCACCTTGGAATAAAAATAATATATAAACTGGTAATGCAGTGATTAGATCAGATGTGACCCAGGCTTCATATGTGTCAACAACTAAATGCATCTCACTCTGTTTTTTCAAATTACAGGAATTATAGGCATAATCTTCACTGGATAAATTGGAAACAAAAATATTTTACCTTTGTTATTTTAGGGCTATCAGTTAAAACAACCCAAATGCCAAACTTAATACACACACAAGGCACCAGAATGTTTCCCAACCCCCATATGGCTTATATTTCAAGGAATACAGTGCATCTCTATCTGCCCTCACTTCTTTCCATGAATTATTATGTACTGCAAGTGACATCTGCTGGAGAAAGCAGAGCTAAATATCTGCAGTACAAGCTCTTTGCTATTAAAACCCTCTGACTACACCTCTAATAAGTACAGCAGTAATTTAATGGAAAAACCTGCTTTTGTGCCCATTGAAATGCAATTACATAAGGACTTCCCGGGAAGTTAAAGCAGAACTGTAAAACTGTTCTTTTTATATTACAGAAGCTTTCTCTGCTTTATAGAGAAGCTTCAGTAATTCCAAAATTATTCTGGGTTTACAATAACAAAGTCTTTTAAAAGGTACTATCCAGTTGAATAAATAGTGTGTATTCATGCTTGCTCCTGTACAATTATTAAGGACATATTTTAAAAATGTGGTCATATGAAAATGTGGTCAAAGGTTCAAGAAACCTGCAAAAGTTCAACAGAAATGTATTTGAAAGCCTACACCAGAACAATACTATTTTCAGGATGCCTTACCTGAGAAAATCTGACTGTAAATGCACTTTAAACACTATTCTGGTTTTGGGGAAGACAGAGACACAATTGAGAAGTCTAAGTTAAAAATATCTTACTGCCTTAATACAGTTACAATCTGTACTTTTAAAAAATGTGAGAATTTGGTATATAGGACCGGTTTTTTTTCCTTCTAATAAGATATTACAAAAAGTCACAGAGTCCCAAAAGCATAAGGCTCAAAGAAGACCCATCCCTGTGCTGGGGGTGGTGCAGCTGTAAGGTAACCCAGGGATACAATGCCTCTCAGAGCTCCTGCAAGTGTCAGTACTGTCCCACACACCTCCCAGAATTCTAAATGGTTTTAAAACAGTTCTGCTACTCTATTTTAAAACAGATGGAAACACTATCTTAGACCAGGCACCAGGCAGCCCGAACTGTTTCACCTGAATCTGTCTTAAGAAAGTCTATGCTATGGCTCCAACCAATTTTAAAATTGGATTAGCTGAATCAGCTTTACCACCAGTTAGAATTTGGGGAATTCTAGAATTTGGGGAATTTAGGGCCTAGTGTAGACTAGGCCCTAAAGGGTATAGCTTGTGTTCCTCTGTAAGAGTGGAAAAGAGTTTTTAAGACAGCAAAATCAGTTCAGAAAGTAAATCAATAGCCAGCAGCCATTTACTGATTTGTTTGTCTAATGTTGATCTTAATTTAGCTGTAATTTCCTCCATCAAATGCATTTCTCTTTTATTTTGTAAGGAAAATTAAATTTGGAAGGTGAGGCTTAAACCAGTGAAGAAGGATATGCTTTAGTGCAGCAATCATAAGAAGATATATTTGTCTGTTTGGAATAAGGGAGGAGGGGAGGGAGGATAACAATAACATATTAAATAAGATTAAGTGGATAATCTGTATCTAATGTGTCGAGGCCTGATTGTCCCCTCTAGCCGAAATCCCATGGGAAGGGGCTAAAGGGAGGATATTTGTGACAGGTTTTCTTCAGAGAAATGTCTCCTGAATTGTTCCCTCAGGGGGTGAGTTTTACCCCTTTCCTTTGCAGAAGGGGCTATTGGGGGTATTCTCCAAATCTCACAGATCTTGGGCCCAGAGTCATCTGCATGAAGCTCTTATGTGTTCACCTTAGCTCTGTGTTCCTGGTATCTCGCTTGCATTCCCTGACAGCACAGTGCCATTGGAGACCAGTTGCAAAGGTTTCCTAGCCAGTGGTTGCTCCAGAGGCTCCCACT